ACTTACGGAGGGTCGAGGCACAGGTATTCCTAGCTTTTCGGTACTGAGATTTTGTCTCATCAGACCCCAGTAACCTAAATCTATCCCACATTTTTCTTCTCTTACGGAGAAGGATGCGGACCTCCTTATTGAACCATGGTGGGGAGTTTCTCGGCCCCCTTGATCTGGTCCAAGGAATGTGGGGTGCGGTAACTTTTAAATATAGATTTCGGAATGCATTCCAAGCCGTTTCAATTGAGGACGCTGGGTCTATTGGCCAATCTACTAGTGATGCCGAGTGCATGATATCTGGTATGCTTGCTTCCCAGACGTTAGGTCTGGATTGAGTTGACGCTTGCTCGTGATTGACAGTTATATGAAAGTCAAAGTTTAAAACTGCATGATCACTTTTACCTAAGGGTGGCATGTAATGGAGGTTCGCAACGTCATCCTCATAGTGAGTTAATATAAGATCTAGTAAGGATGATTCAGTGTCCGGGTCGTACCTAGTCGCTTCTTTCACATGTTGCACTAAGGCACATGTTATAACCGCGTCAACTAGTTCCTGCTCGAAGGAATTATCTGATGATTCGGTTCGCAGATTTCTCCAGTCTACCGTAGGTGTAATAAAGTCCCCTAGGATTAGACATCGACCACATCGCGACCAATTTTTGAGCCTGTTTAACAGGACATCATTTACCTCACAGCTTGGACTGCGATAGACCAAACCAATTAGCAGCTCTTGGCCCTTGAATTTCAAGCGGCAACTAATCAATTCACACGTCCCACTTTCATGGGATACACTATCAATGATGACAAACGGGATAGCATTCCTAATGAATAGAGCAACTCCCCCTCCTTTACGCTTATGTATTCTGTCGGTCCTTACTAAAGTAAAACCCTCAAAATCGAGTTCTATATTATCTATAGACTGTGTCAGCCAGGTTTCTGTGACTGCGATTATGTCTGGCTCTGTAGAGTCAATCTGTTCACCTAGTTCCGATAGCTTATTTAACAAGCTTCGGGCATTTGTGTAACAGATCCTTAGCCTATTTGAGTGGCTTCGTGTTTCACCCAGAGTGGCTTCGCCATCATTCTCTGACGAAGCCTCACAACCGGAAAATTTACAATTTTCAGGTCCTTTTCGCCAGCGTCTAACCTCATTTGTAGTTCTTTTTCGGCTTCCGTCTTTTTACACGGTCTGCCAACGGCAAGTCCTTTCGGATAAAAACTCCCGAACCCTTTAATTTATGTCCATTCTGTAAAATTAAGTCCCTTTCATTCGAAGATTTGAAAACTACTTTAAGCAGTCTAGATTGATTAGGCTTCAAGTTCGCTAAACTACCTAGTCTATACACCTTTAGCAAGGTGACTCCGGAGATATTTTCAGGCATGAGTTGATTAAGTAGCTGTTTTATCAGGTCAGTGTCATGCTCAAAACGAGTTTTTGGTTCGGAGCTTTCGCTCTCCTTGATCCTATGAAAAATGACTGATCTGTTACTGTGATCAGCATTCGGTTTTTCGACAACTTTTGTGGGGGCAGGGTTCCCTTTTATATCATTTTTCTGTTTCTTCCTCACAACCTGTACCCATTCGTCAACGTTGCTTGGAGAAGCAACCACAGTCGCGTCAAACATACTGTGCGATTCCGGAGGGTTTTCGATGACTTGGGAGGTCAGGTTTGGTGTCCCTTTGGAGACTGATCGAGCCTTGCGGTTGCGGCTTCTATGTGTTTCTTTCTGGATACCATTTTGAGGACGTGGGACAGAAGAAACGTTTTTCCTTGAGTTTTTTGTGCGGACAGAACTCTTTGGGGATTGTTCTCCCTCCTTTGGTCGGTGCGAGTCATCTGTTTTCGAACTCACTTTAGTTTGACTCACGCCAATTTGCGTGTCAACGGAGCGAGTACTTGATGATGTGTCGCGACCACTGTTACCAAAACATTTTTTAGCAGCACTAACCAATGAGATGGCCTCGGTTAGCAAACTGTTAGCATCCGAACAGCACTGTTGACAGAGCCATACGCAACCATTCCTACTGAACCGTTTGAAAGCTGCAGGCGTTAAATTTGTGCAAACTTCGTGGTACCATCCTTTGCACTCATCGCACTGCATGCCGCTTTCAACAGGATAACGACAGCCCGGGCGTTGGCAATTACTTTTTTTGCACTGTCCAGTCATTTAAACACGGGGTTTTTTTAAAAAAAAAAGTTACTAGATGCAAAGACACTCAGGGACAAAAAAAACAATCTATGACCAAAAAACTGGAAAACTGTGGATCGTTGGAACCAAAAGTACTAACAGATACTATAAAAAAACAACAGAGTACTCAAAAATACTGCCAACAAAACTACTTTAGAAACAAAAACAAAAATAATCTAATCGAATACTTTAACTGAAATGAACTCAATTAAAGTTAAAAACAGTAGTTTTGATACGTATAAACGATCAAAACAATAGAATCTACTCAGCGAGGAAAAATACCACTGTCCTTTTTGAATAGCGCGCCAAATGATGGCTGTAGTCGAGATGTATTTGTTGGCTATCTGATGTTATCGAAAGAATACCGAGATCGTGCCAAAGGGGTACAAGCGTAAGTACTAAGCGCAATCAAATTCGTACAAATTCAAAGTCAACGGAAGAGAGAGAGTAATGACTGTCATTAGCACAGTTAAACAAACGAGCACAGTAAAACAATCACTGGTACAATTGGTTATAATAATAATTGTTCTCATTAAACCAATCGCGTTCTGTTGACAAAAGTAGGTCACTACATACTTGTACATTCTCGATGGTGGTTGTAGTAGCTCTCCACGTTTCAGCTCCTTACAGTAGGACTGTCTCAACGTTTGGTTTGAAGATCCTGAATTTGATATTGGTTGACAGTTGACAGTTGTCTTGAATTTCTCATGTTCTTCAACTATAGCAATTTTGTCCTTGCTTTACCAATCTTCAGATTTACGTCTGCATCCGATCCTGCTTCATCATCTATTGTGCTTCCCAGGTACGTGAAGGATTCTACATCTTCCAGAGTTTGGCCATCAAGTGTGATTGAGTCGGTGTTATCGTGTTGTATTTGAGGACCTTGGTTTTCCCCTTGTGTATGTTGAGGCCTACTGATGCACTGTCTGCCGCTACACTAGCTGTCTTCATCTGAATTTGTTGGTGTGTATGGGATAGGAAGGCTAGGTCATTTGCAAAGTCCAAATCATCCAATTGGTTATGAGCTACCAATTTTATTCCGTGTTTTCCGTCAGATATCGAGATCTCCATAATATAGTCGGAGATAGTAGACAGACTTGTCTGACTGCGGTCCTTACTTGGAGTGCATCTGTCAGCTGTCCTCCGTGCACGACTCTGTAGTGTAGTTCGTCGTATAAGTTCCGTATAACGTTGAAAATGTTCTCAGGAACTCCATAGCGTCGAAGAAGTTTCCATAATGCTCTCTTGTCTACACTGTCAATCGATACTTTTGAGATTTTCGACCAGAGACAATTTAGACGGTCATGTTCCTCCAGAGTGATACCAAATTACTTCTATGCCCAAATACTTGTGTCGACGTTCGGAAATAGTGTCCATACCAAACCTCACCAGTCGCTATTAATTCACTTTGTTTCTACCAATTATTTACAATATTTCTACTAATCGCTCCCGTCAGTCAAAAGTAAATATCCATTGCCGAAGCCGAATTTTTACATGATAGTTTTAGTTGTCTTAATCAGTAACTGAAGCCCTACGTAATACAGTCTCATTACATCCTATCCATTTACACCGGCAGAACTCATGAAATTTATGGTGTTATTGGTCTTCAACCACAACGTTGTCGAAGCCGAACATGTGTTAACAGAAGAACAGCAGGCCAAAAATGATGACACGGTAACAGTTGATAGGTATGGCATGATTCAGCCTTGCAGACATGCGCATTCTGTTTAGCTCATATCTTTTCACATCAAGCATGTTATTCTATTCTAGCCCTAATGTATTTTTCCTTAGCACCAAACATCTTTCTTCTGATTGTCACTATGGGACGGGTCAGTATATACAATGACGTGAATTCCACGTAAGATCTTGTAAATTAGGCAGCCGCATCGTGAAAAAACCACAATTTCGGTATTACGTTTATTATTAGAGTAGCAAAGATAAATGTACTAATACCGAAGTCAACCATAATCCCAAAAACTATTCCTGTAGCTCTCCAAGTTCTCTCACCGCTATTGCTTCTCTTTACTTGATATTCATGCTTCTCAAATTTCGAATTTAATTAGTTCATTATTAGTCCTCTATTCTGCAAAAAAACTTGAAAGACCGTTCATTGAAAACTTTTGTTGGGCTTCCACCCATAGTAGCTATGGGTCACCTTTTTAAACAAACAGGAAAACAATATTTTTTCATACACCAAACAATGTCAAATAAATCCAAAAGACGAAGATAGAACTTAAAACCAACAAACAAGACGAAGATATGTTATTAGTGCGATATTAATTCCGAATCCAGCTAGTATATGATTATTGGTTGAACATGACCAGGATAAACGAATCACTAGTGTTTAACAAAGTGGTGCGCCTGCTTCTGAGGCATAGTCAATACAGTTTGAATTGACCCCCGAACAATTTGTGGCTAATAGTCCTATAGTGTGCTCTGAGGAGAGAGTTGGAAACGCATTTTTATAGAGCGGCATAGTGTCAAGTGTCTTTTGTCCACCCAACTTAAGAACGCAATCAGATTTTCCTGAGTGTTTACCATACACTTTTAGTAGCTCACTTCGAAGCTATAATCTTTAATAACATCTTTAGGAACAGGGAAATAGGGGAAGAATCGGTGGAAGAACAAAGGAACAAATCTTATGAGGATAGACTCCGGCACTTGGAATTGTTTCTCTAAGGTATAAGGGAATAACATATGCTCTGATAATTGGACGGAACATATGTATATATGTATATATGTGTATATATATATGTATATATATATATATTCAAACTGCTACAATCAAAGCTTGTCACAAGTATCCGATATATTGGATATTGGAGGTCAATAGAGTGGTGGCGCTGCTTATGATGTCTGGTCCTTTCTCTCTTTTTTCAATGTAAAGCAGGTAGCCTCCTTAACTTTGGAGACTATGTACATAAACTCAAGAATGGCCAACAACATTCCTCCTGGGTATCACGTTGAAGTTGTGGGTGACGCTAGATTTGTGGTACCTTTACGGTACTCTAATTTAAAGCCCATTGGTTCTGGAGCTCAGGGCTTTGTTGTGTAAGTTAACCATTTAAACTAAATTCAATATCTGAGTACTATATTATGCTTCAACAATTGGGTCAATCGGTCCCACAATTCCTGTAGATTCGTAGCACGAGGTGTGTTCTTTGTAAACTTACAATGCCTCGGAGACTTGAAAATAAAACTGATTCTTGGTATTACTCAGATTTTCAGGACTTATCGAAAAAATAAATAAGTCAGGTCACAAAATTTCACTTTAGAGCAAATCGGTGGCAACCCAATCGGGATTATGCATTTACATAGCTTTTGTTGGATTAGTTATTGTTGCATATCCTTGGTCAAACTGGCATTCGTGATGTGTCGTCATCCAACGATCATATGGGTAATGCTTTATTAGTAGCTCCGCATTTTCGTATCGAGTGGCATTAGAAAAACATTTGTGAAAGCTGTGCAGTCCTTTTACGCGACTGTACTGATTAGCCTCCACTTTCTCTGTGGGTCTGTTGTTACCTAATATTTATGCCCTACTCCCTCTGTATAACCACCACGTCAAACTAAGCTGTCAGGATACCCTTTTCAGCAGGTAGTCAGCAAAATCTTGTTGATTTATCTCTTACGTCCACATATCTGGTCGATTGATCACTATGTCCATACTTTGAAGTTCTGTAGTGAAATTAAACCATAATAAGCATATCTTTCTTTACAGTTATTTGCCGTTTGTTATACTCACAAACAGTCACCAATTAAATCGTGATTTGAATGCTGCGTTTTGTCTTAGTGCTTAGAGTTTGAATTGCTTATGTTTTGCTGGTATGGTTTATTATGTAACTACACTATCTAGTCCGTTCTATAAAAGATGCTTATTTTACTGTGTAGATAACCCATCTAAGTATTTTCATTTTAAAGTTCAATGGGGTTCGTCATACGAATAAAATTGTGTGGCATTAACAGGATTTATGCATCTCGATCTTGTCTTGATTTGTACATATTGCTTATACATGGGATTAACTGTACTGTTGATTCTGTCTGTAATTATGTTTATCCTCACGTAACAACGCCATATTGTGATTTTTTGGTTCCGATTCAGTGAGTATTTCCTATCTATCACTGACTTACGTTTGTGGTGTAACGCCTTAACAAAGCGGTCAACGTACTCAAATTTTCCGCTGTCTTCAAACGTGAAACTGATGTGAATTAGTCTAAAATGAATATTGTTAGATGCAGGGAAAGCGATGCACTTCGGATTACTTTGGATTACTATCAATAGTTTCTATAAATCTGAGATTTCTTCAATTCATTTCACCAGACAGAACTATTTCATCTGCGTATCTTAAATTGATGTGTACGTTTTAGGTAGGAGACAAATCCGTGCTATTTTGGGAGGATGAAGACTACTTGATTGGAATTCGCATAATTGTCTTAGTGGTTATAAATTTTGGGTGACATGGCTGAAAATCACTCACAATGTCTCGATTACATTCACTCTTGATATTTCTCTCACCTATGAATTTCCGTATTTCTTAATACACACCTTTGCACTCTGTCTCTGATCACTATTGCTATCAGACTATTTCGCTATTCTTGGTATTTTTGTCTCATCATTTTAATATAATTTGACAACTTGTGCTAATGTACATTTACGTTACATTGTGTATTGATATCTGTTTGTCTGATGCTTGCAAAAACTAGTCTGTCAGTCTAAGACTGTTGATAACTGGTGACACTAGGAAAGAAGCTTGATAAATTAAACTGTTTGAAAATTCTTGGTTGTGTTTATTTGTTTAAGCATAAATATTGGTACAAGAAGGTACCAATTACATTTGCGCTACACAAGTCATTCGATATGTGTAAAAGCTGGAATACTGCCCGGGCACAATCTAAAGCACGTGGTTTTCTCACGGCGCCACGCCCGGAGCCTTCGACGTAAAGGTCTGATCAACAAGACAGTGAAGAAACGTTAGGAGATTCAGTCCCGTAGTAGCCGGTGACCAACAATAGGTTCATACGCCTTTTGTTTACTCAGGATATATCAAATTTCGGTCTGTTTTTGATTTTTCGATTAGTTGACCGAAATCCATTGTTGTACGTGCGATCTACCCAAATGAACCAGTGGATTTCAAGGTGTTACAAAGAACCTATTAGAATTTTGTCTATAACTCGGTTCTTTGCTGAGTGCGTAAACTACTAAAATGTGTTTTCATCCATCACTCGTATAATTTCTATTTTATTTAAGTTTATGTAACTTCCATTTGTCTTATTTTTAATTCTCACATAAACACTGATTTTGTATACTCCTTATTAAATAATGGATAGAGTGATGGGTTAGTGATTAGAGCTCTCAGATTTTAATCAGTAATTTGCCTTTCCAAACTCCTCTCCATTTATTTCGATTTGCTCAAACTAACATTATCACAAGCCGTTACATCGATAGCATTCTTCAAAGCTACCGAGTACATAAATATATACTTGGCAAATGAGTTGCATTAAATCCGTTATATTGAAATGATATTCTGTTTGCTTTCTCCTACAGAGCTGCCTATGATTCAGTACTCAAACAAGATGTTGCCATTAAAAAATTGGCTCGTCCTTTTCAAAATGTTACACATGCCAAACGTGCCTATCGTGAATTTGTTTTGATGAAACTGGTGAATCACAAAAATGTTAGTAATCTGTTTTCTTTTCAGTGCCAGCTTTATCGCCTACGCTTTACCTCTGTTTTTGTAGATTAACTTATGATTTTGTTTAGCCAAGTTGATCTCTTTTATTGTTCAATTACTAATCCTTGATGATAATAAATTATTGTTGAGTTTGGTTAGTAAACTTCACCGTACATCAGGTTACATGAGGGATTTTTTATTGAATGAAGAAACTCAACCGAACTGTAAAATTTGATATAGCATAGATGAAATTTGGCTAGCAGTGGGATCCAAGATATGCCTTCTGTTTTACCTGGGACTCGTCAATTTGATTTACCTGTATCTTAGAGTTGAAGTTGAAGTTGACGCCGTGACTCAAGCTTAATACCATTCGCTTCAAACACTGATGCATTATCCACTTAGTTTATAGACTCAGTTTCATAATGGCTAACTCTACCTATTCTATTATTCATCAGCGAAAATTCAGTGGATTAAAATATCGTTCACACAACTGATTTCATATAGTTCACCAAAATATAAATAAGAATCATTTGGCTGAATACAAATAAAACCAGTAGATTGTCAAAATAAATGTAACCCATTTATCGGGTACAAGTGTTTTGTGTTCAGCTTCTAGCTACATTTCAAATGTAAGGTTTATTCTACTCAATCAACTGGATACTGTTGAGGCCTATTAATGATTGTGACTTAAAACTTCCATTGAGTTAAAGTTATGTTGCCTATCAATCGTAAATAGATCGTTCACGAAGTTCAGAAAAGTCCAGTTTTTTTAAATATCTTATCCACTGACTCAGACTTTTTAGTAAGTGTTTAAATGATTGACTAACCATCTTTTAAATACCAAGTAAGTGTTTTCATTTCAAATGGACACAACCGGAATGTATCACAGATAATGTTTAACTTCTTAGTGCAGTTATGTTAATCTAAACTGAACTTGTTAAATTTGACTCGTTCTCTTTGTGTTCTCCATACTTTCAATTCATCTAATTAACAGACCTAATTATTTTGTTACTAATAAGCCGTTGTTTGGTCATAGAGACAAAGAATATCTTCCGTTAACTTGTCATTGGAATATATCTACAAATTCAGTTGGTTTTTGTGTTTGTAACACGTCATTTCATTCTTCAGTTGTTACAGTTTATCAATTTATCTATATAGAATTCTACTTGTTTATCTTTTCAAAACTGAAGAAACTTTCTTCCACATTTTCATTGGTGTTGATTGTTTACTGACGATGTATGAAGAAATAACGTGTTAGTCGATTACTGAACGTACAGTAGAACTGTAGCTTGTTAATTAAAACACATCCAATCTACACTTTTCGTTTTCTTTGTTTTTATCATTTAAGTAGTATGCATGATATTCACGCAGTAAATTTAATTTAAAAGTTGGTGCACAAATATATACCTAACTATTGATTTGCACTGTGCAAAGAGATATGATTAAGGAATTACAGATAATCAACCTTCTAGGGATTAACAATGAGTTAAAACAATCGTTATATTCTTTATCCGTCTGTTCATCATTTTTGAATTAACTCATCAGGATAGTCAGTCATTAACAACGTAGAACTTCGTACTTACGTACATCAGTTCGAGTTGCCATACCACATTAACACAGAGATGCAGTTGTCGATTCAAATCCCATAGTCGTAGAGGTAGTATTATTTATTTATTTATTTTAACACATAGATATTGGTACAAGGAGGCACCAAATACATATGCGCCACATAGATGTCATTTGATTTGTGTGAGGGCTGTGAAACTGCCCGGGTGCCCAAACCGGTTTTCTTAGGGGGCCACACCCCGAGCTCTTGACCTAAAGGTCTGACCCACAAGGCAGTGGAACATCGTGAGGAGATGCAGTCCAATGGTAGCCGGTGACCAACTATTGGTTCATACGCCATTTGTTCCTTCAGAATAATGGAGCTCATGTGCATCATTGGTTTGAAACCAGGGTTCCCAACTCCCCTAGGTGGACTCTTCATATCCACCGATCCGGTTAAAGCGCCAGACATTCGCTTTTCGCCCTCTCAATTTCGTAAAAAACACCCCCGCCACAAGAAGTCAGTGAGTAGGACTTCCCTGACAGGGCTATATACGCGTGGCCATGTGAGAGCATTTTGAGAGGGAGAACGGACTCTCCCCACTCTCGGCCGTACCGGGCCATCTGGGGGCAGAGGCAGTAAGAGTATAAGCAGTAATCGGAAAGATTAGGGTTTGAAGATGTTATTCAAACTAATAACCTCACAATTAATTAAATTATTATTTCTTTAGAATTCCGATTTCCTCTATTATTTGAATGTTGTTCTGTGTGGATGTGGACCACCTATGGGATAATTGTATCTTTGTTAAGTTTATATGTACCGCATCTAATCTTTGCAAAATAATGTTTACACTTGTTTAATTTAAATTCATTGACCTCTTAAAAGACAACCCGAACAAGGGTATATATTTTCTTTTTTAAAAATGGAAGATAATTAAATGTGATGCACAGCGATGAATAGTGATTCCTAGTTAATAGTTTTTTTCACTGTAATAGGCATTAATTCAATGATTCTCCATGTATTAAATATTTGTAATTGTTTTGTTCTCATAAATCCACTTGATAATTTAGCTTTTCACTATCTATTTTTTCCTTATTCCCAATGAAATGTTTCAACTAACATGCTCTTCATAATATTGTTTTGAAACTTGATAAAAGCGAAATCCTTTTATTAAATTAACTCATACCATTAAAATAACTATGGGAAACTGGGAGGTGATTTATAGGAATTAAGTGAGTGTTAAACAACTCATCACTGTATGATGCATCAGGTTTCCAATTTCAAAACTAAGGTATTATATGTAAAATAACTAATTTGAAACTTGCTTGCAAATTACCCCCTCCCTTTTTACAATTAAAAGCGTGATAATCAGGAATACGAGTTATTTTTAAGTTGTTAAGTGTATTACTTTTTATTTTTGATTTTGTAATCTTTTTTACAAATGAAAAATAGATAGTTTTTCATTTTTAATACTACAATGATTCTGATACGTGTAACTTTATCTCAGTTTCTATGTGATTCATTGAATTTTGAACAACATGATGTATGATAGATTAATACAGATTAAAAACGTTTTACAGTTCATAATTTTTTGGTGAGATAGTGAGCATTCATCAATTGTGTTTGGAAAATGTTATATTTTCCCGCCTACATCTAGAGGGAATGTTGTCTAATGTAGGATTAGGCTGGAGGAAAGCTAGGGGCGGCCAAATCAAGATGTGAAACCAGTTCATGAAGTGACAGATAATTAAATTAATCCATGTAAACAGGTATAGACTCTGGTTAGGATTCTTGGGATTGTCGTAACTAATGGTTATAGACTTTGCGTGATCGTCTTTGACGATGGGCAGTGTTTTACGGGAGGCAGTTCAACTGGTCTGCTGCCCCGGCAACACCGATCAGACTGTCCTGCCCCCCATGGCCTGTGACGACTGATCTACTAAATGAGACGGGAGTCCGCAAGGAACTCCGACTCTTGGGACGTTACAAATCACCGGGCCCAGACGACTTACCTCCGACCCCTTTTAAAAATGGCGGTGACTTTCTGGTTAAGGAACTGACTACGTTGTTAACAAAGGTTTGACAGTGAGAGAGTATTCCAACATTGTGGAATGAGTCAATAGTTATCCCTATCTTTAAAAAGGGTTCACGTTGATCCTGTAACAACTATCGGGGGATAAGTCTACTTCCGATTGCGTCCAATCTGTTGGCTTCCGTTATACTTCGTAGGCTGTTCAAAACCCGAGAAAGATTGACTCGTGAGGAGCAGGCGGGTTTTCGTTGTGATTGAGGATGTATTGATCATATCTTCACCCTCCGCCAAACGTTAGAACACCGTCACAGGCCAACAATCGTAATGCTTCTCGACATTCGGGCTTCCTTCGATTCGTTGGACAAGACTATTCCCTGGGATTGTCTATTGAAGAAGGGTGTGCCTGAGGAATTTATTATTATTTCTATATACAAACACCTGTTGATTGTTGCTCGTCTTTTTATTGTACTCAACCCCCATTCTCTATCTCTTCACAACTTCATTGTTATTTTGTGGCATATATGTATACGGTGCCCCTTGTACCAATATTTATGTGTTCAAATAAATAACTGGGTGATATGGCTGAGAGTCGTTCACAATAGCGCAGGTGCATTCACTCCTTATCTTTGAGAACGTTTAGAAGCCTCGCTGTACAGTTTTTCTTTCTTCGTATCCAATTTTTTCTACCACTTTGGTATTTGTCTTGCAATAACTATCTCAAGTACATATATCAGGTTCTACGTTGCATATGACTGACTTATTAGCCAGTTTATATATTGGTGTAGTGCTTATTTGTCAATCTGTCTAAGGACTAAGATTCGCTGGCAAAATGAAATATTATCTTCTTAGCTAATGTCAGTCAACTTGATCTACTACACAATCGTTACTATTCAATCCGTTGACAATATCAAAAGCGGAATGTGTAAGTATTTTTAATATCTCACAGTACATACACTGTATTTACTGTTGGATACATGTAATCTCCTATCTTTCGATTATCGCTATATTTTTGTTTACCACTTCACATTAGATCATATCATTATTAAACGCATTTACTCCTCAACAAACATTGCAAGATTTTCAAGATGTTTATTTGGTGATGGAGTTTATGGATGCCAATTTATGTCAGGTAAATAACTTTTTTCCTACAATTCATATTCTGACATTTCTACTTTGACTTCGTAGATGTGTTAGGTATTAGATTGAGTCCAATGATGTACTCCACTTTATCTATCTGTTTTATAAATATATAACATAATTAATCATAATTTAGTAGATACTATGGTATAGTCCTTAAGACTGACAGTGTGCAAAGTGAATGTATAACCCAATTCAGATACACTAAGCAACAGCGTGTTCAAAGAAGATATGAAAATGTTTAGAAAAAACGATTTTGAAATTTTCATTAAGCATTAAATACACTTAGACTAATGTGATTTCAATTTGTTATTTGTTTATCTTGAATCCTAGTCAAGAAGTATACATTAACAAATCATGACTCTTGACTAATTGTTCAGATTTAAAAGGCTCACGATGAACTTTAACAGTTATATTCACTTATTCTTGTAACTGGTTGTAACAGTACATTTTAGAATCGACCCTGTATGTTGCTCTCTTTCATTTATAGAAAAGTTTCAATAGTTGAAATCATGAGTCAATTGAAACCAGATTACCATGGAAAACCTGGAAGCACTGGACGACCGTTTCGTCCTATTGTTGAGCTCCTAAGCATTGCGCATCCACGATCCCACCCCGGCTCGCGCGCGAGACTGATAGATCCTGGGTTCGAATCTCGCGAGGCAAAATCGTGGATGCGCACTGTTAACGAATTCCATGTTAAAACGAAACGTCCATCTAGTGCTTTCAGGTTTCCAATAGTGGTCTAGCTTCAATTGACTCATGATTTCAACCATCGAAATTACTAAAATCTCCACAAAACCCCTTCTGATATAAAAAGTTGAAGATCAATTAGCAACAAGATGAAAGTCGATAATTAATGAATCATATTAAACAACACAAAGCAAAATATCAATAAATTAAATAGTATCTATCAGTGATTTCCACCATAACACAAACTGTTTCTGTTCATATCAGTTAGATATAACAAAATAGGAATTTCATTAATACTCTAATTTGAATTATTATGGTTTGTAATGACATAGATACAAGAATCACTTAAAGGATGATTAACAAACATTGATCAGTTTCTTATTGGATCAATTATATTAGTTTCTAACATCTCAAATAAACGATTATCTGGTCAATATAGACATGATTCTCCATACAATGTTGCTAGAAATAATTACATATAACAAAATAATATATTTTTCAAAGAAATGATTTTAATTTCAATAGTTGAACTCATGAGTCAATTGAAACTAGACCACTATGAAAAACTTGGAAGCACTGGACGGTCGTTTCATCCTATTGTGAGACTCCTCCTCAGCAATGCGCATCTACGATCCCGCCTCGCGAGATTCGAACCCAGGACCTATCGGTCTAAGATACAGTATAGCTTCTAGTAAAGATATAAGGTAATGCAAACTTTACTGTTTACACTGTATACAGCTGGTACATATTCTAGTTGTAATTCTAATGTAGATTGTAAGTGTCTTAAATAGTCATTTTGTTCATGATCTGTGAATGGACGATCACTCTTCCGCATGTTATGAAGTTGTGTACGTTCTGAAATTATCATCTAGTTAGCAATATGATTGTGTAATATACAATTTGGCACATTTCCCTCATTTTCAGGTGATCAATCTTGATTTAGATCATGAACGAACCTCATATCTACTGTATCAAGTATTATGTGGTGTAAAACATTTACATGCAGCCGGTATAATCCATCGAGATTTAAAACCCAGTAATATTGTTGTAAAACATGATTGTAGTTTGAAAATTCTGGATTTCGGTTTGGCTCGTACAGCTGGAGATAGCTTTTTAATGACTCCATATGTGGTAACTCGGTATGAACATTAACATATTTTTCATCACCTTATCAGTTATCGTTTTTCAGTGTTCATTATTAGCCAGTTTTAATGATTAAATATGCTTGACATTTCGACATTTTATACTTGACAGATCTTATCAACAGACACTATCCGCATTTTCTAGGCTAGTTGTTGAATTGAGCCAGTGTTATTCAATATTGTATTAGTTTACTTAATTTAGAAAACCATTCCATGTATAGTTTAAACCTTTTAAGACTCGACTATGTGCACTAAAAGACTTTCCTATAGTAGCCGATATATATATTAATAAGGTACTGTTCATAGTTAGATCAAGTCGTCTCATTTACTGACCACCTTCCTCATTCTTGTTTATATATTGCAGATGAAAGTTGAGCAAGACCATCGTTACCCAGGATCTTCTAAGTTCGAAGCTCTTGCGAACCCATGGTCTTGAGAAACTGACACGTTAGGTCTCTCTCTGTAGTTCCAAAATGAGTGGGTTCGTCAGCAGTAACGTTCACCGTCTACCTCATATACATCAACGTAAACTTCTGCTGATGCCTACACCACATTCCTCCAAATTTTTACGTTAATTTGACAACGTTAATCAAATGAAATAATTTTATTGTTTGGTAATAGTCTTTAATTCTTGAAAGATAGTCGTCATGTCTCAAACATTTGTGGTTCCTCAGTGCAATATCACATCCTATCATCTCATGTAAAAACTATAAATATACTAAGGTTTTAACTATTGTGCTTCTTACTTCCATCTAACCTTGTTATTTGGAATATAATCTCTTTCCTGTTCAACCGTGTTCTGATTTGAGGATATGTCGAGTGAATCGGTGTCCAAGAATGCTAAGCAATAGGAATTGCTGGGTTGTAATAAGAGAGAATTATAACAGACCACAATACAGTTTTTAAAAAAAAAACCATTTAGTTCAATGGACTTTTCAGATGGTAGAGAAGATTTGTAGCTCAGGTGGATGATTTTGATGGAGTTTTCTTCTCTGAGCTGGATGGTTTGGATGTGAAGCTTTCATCGTTCTTCTGAACGATGTCGTTCAGAAAGAACTTTTCAATTTTAGTGTTTGCATACTGTTGTAAATTTGATATATTTATGTTTATGAATGTAAATTTTAGTTTTAAAATACTGAATTAAAACTTCTATAAAATTATTTCTTTTTATAGTTATTATCGTGCTCCAGAAGTTATTCTAGGTATGGGTTATTCTGAAAATGTAGATATTTGGTCAGTTGGTTGTATATTTGCTGAGATGGTTTTAGAAAGAATTCTATTCCCCGGCTATGATCATATTGATCAATGGACTAAAATTACAGAAGAACTTGGAACACCAGGACCAGAATTTATGAATCGTTTAGAATATGCTGTTCGTAATTATGTAATGTCACGTCCAAAAAATGAACCACGTTCATTTACTGAACTTTTTCCAGATGATCGTTTTCCTCCACCTAGCACCGTAAGTTATTTTGATTCTTTCTTTTTTTCAACCTGTTATGTCTCAAAGCACTTTCCACATGTTAGAAGCTATAATTGGATATGGTTGTATTTTCATGCCTTTTTGTATATTATATGAATTAACGATTTTTTATCATTTGTAAATTTTCAGTTACTTACTTACGCCTGTTACTCCCAATGGAGCATAGGCCGCCGAACAGCATTCTCCAACCCACTCTGTCCTGGGCCTTCCTTTCAAGTTCTATCTAGTTTTTGTTCATTTTTCTCATGTCTGTCCTCATTTCTCAGCCTGCTTCGGTTTGGGCACCCGGGCAGTATCACAGCCCTCACACGTATCAAATGAGATATGTATGGCGCATATGTATTTGGTGCCTTCTTGTACCGATATCTATGTGTTAAAATAATAATCATTTCTCAGCGTAATGTGTTCTTTGGTCTTACACTTCTCCTTTGGCCTTGAAGATTTCATGTGAGGGCTAGCCTTGTGATGCAGTTGATTACTATCCTCAATATGTGTCCTATCTACTTCCAGCTCTTCTTCCTGATTTCTTCCTCCGCTGGGATCTTGTTTGTTCTCTCTCTTACAGAAGTTGTTTCTGATAGTGTCTGGCCAACAAATTTTCAGTGGTACTAATTATTTTACTCACTCCTGTTCATTTTATTCATTCACAAGAACTTTGCATTATTTATCATGAAGCTGAAAATTGAAATATCCTTGAACCGGAGTTCCCTAGTATAATCTTCATTCGTTTTCTTCTATCTTGAAAAAAAAACCATTTACGTGATTAGATGGCGGTCGGAGGTAGTCGACAGGAAACCCTGGACCTGGGTTTCGTGCTACTTTGTACTCATCACAAAGGTGTACCTGTAATCTTTGAGGGAACTGATGCTCCCTGGCGGATTCGATCAATCAATTGTGATTACATCTCAGTCCTACAGGAGGTTGGTCGCGGCCTGAATAGCTCAGTGATAACGTCTCTGACTGTGAAGCTGGGTGACACGGGATCGAATCCGTCAGGGAGAACCAGTTTCCTCAAGATTACAGGTACACTTTGCTGATGAGTTCCAAGTAGCACGGAACCCAGGTCCAGAGTTTCCTGTCAACTACCTCCAACTGCCATGTAATCTCACAATAGTGCCCGCAGTGTCGAGTCACCTAGACTGGTGGCCACATTGCAACATGGTCGATGGCACTCGATCTGCACTAATAAGGACTGGACACGCATGACATTGGTCACCACCCAGTGATCAATCAATTGTGAAGCCACTTACGTATTGAGGTTCTTGGTTGGCTTAAAGTGAATTCTATTTGCGAGCGATTGAGAATCTTTTGATACAAACAGTAACAAATATGAACTCGAATATGCCGCATGTTTGACACCCAATACTTCAACGATGATAATCCGCCAAAAAAGGCAAAATAGGAAGTTTAAAAGGACGTAATATAAATTTAATATGGTACAACTCAGTACATTTAGTAACAAATGCATGACCTTGAAGCATCTAGGAAATTAATAGACTAGAATTAGTGACAACCAATCGGGAGAATGTGATAAAACTGGATTTAAAACAAAAACACTCCCAGTTACCATTACTATTAAGGCTTTAACATTAGCAAAAATTGAGCGATCTCATAACTGCCTTATCATTTATGTTGTTGCTTTTTTCACAAAAGTTCACTCCTGATTAACGCTTGCCTAATGTACATTGTACTAATTTAAGATCTACTTAACATATGTGTTTTATGAAGACTATCTTACTTTTAAGCTCCCCAAATAACGTGATTAGCAATTACTAACCATCTGGGTGATTCTACCACATTTTAACCGGGTCATTCAGGCTTGCAGTATAATATATGTTAAACATGCATACGATGTTTGCAAGAGATTTCTGTTGTCGTTAGTTTTATATTACACCATACAAATAAACAATGTGCACATGTAACTGACTATGATTATCTGCTATCTCATTCGTAGTACGATATTTCAAAGACTGCTTTCTTACCCAAAGACTTTCACTGGTTAATCGACCAAGCAGAAATTCTAAAATTTGTTTTTCGTCTTCTAGATGTAAAGTGTTTTTAAGACTAGCTATGTGTCCATTGCTTAATTTTACACTCATGATTCACTATCCGTTAGTTGAGTTGTAAAAATATAACTGTGACACTTTATCTTTTAGTGTGACCCAATGCTTAGTGATTAATTAGTATTACATTATCCCCAAATGCCCTGGTACGATCAAAAGTGAGGAGAGTCACCTCTCTCCAAATGCTCTCACATGGTCACGCGTATACAGCCACTGATAGGGAAGCCCTACTCACTGCATTCTTACGCCATTACCATTGTTTACGAAATTGAAAGGACCAAAAGCGAATTTCCGGCGCTTAAACCGGGTTGATGGACACGGAGAGTCCACCTGGGAGAGTTGGAAAACCCTCATTCCAAACCAATGGTGTACATGGGCTGTAGTATCCTGAAGGAACAAATGTCGTGTGAACCAATCGTTGGTCACCGGCTACCACGAGACTGCATCTTTTTACTCTGCTCCACTGCCTTGTGGGTCAGACCTTTATGTCAAAGGCTCCATGTGTGGCCCCCTAAGAAAACCACCTACTTCGGTTTGGGCACCCGGGCAGTATCCTAGCCCTCATACAGATCGAATGATTTATGTGTTGCATATTTATTTGGTGCCTCCTTGTACCAATGTTTATGTGCCTAAATAAATAAATAAATATCACATTACCATTAAGCTAATTGAATGAATTAGTTCGTTATACCTATAAACTGTATAGTACAACATACAATTACCTTTGTCGTTAAATCTTTTGCTACTTATCTAAATACATTTTATCTACCAAAGTTAACTGTCAATATGATACAAAGTAGCCCACGTAATCCGATTAAACATAATTGACGGTTCTACGTAGACTTTTTTTCTTTTCCATCTAATGAATACCGAAAATATTTTCTATTGTAGTAACATAAAGTTAAGTTCATAGAGAAAGAAAAAGGCTAAAGGCAACAATGGAAAATGTCTGAGAAAAGAAAATAATAAGACATTAATTAAACTTAAAATAACTATGATTAATCTTCCATAAATAACACATAGATCAAAAGGCAAATAATAACTTTAACGGAATGCTTATTTAAGTCGGTAGATCCAGTATAAGCGGTATATCTGTCCAGTTTACTACAATGACCGCATAGTAACAAATGTGGTAGTTAAGGATTGAGAATAATGATAACGCTTATATGATCATTAATTGAAAAGTAGATATTATAAGATACAGAACGAATAAAACCCAAAAATATAAATTTGAAAGATAAAGAATAAATACAACTATGGTGTATGCTACTTATGCCTGTCGGCATAAGTAGTATGTGACATCGATCAGAACTGGAATGCTTATCAAAAGAAGGTTGAGAAGATTGAACTTTTAAAAGTTGTTTATTGTATAAAAATAAGAATTTAAAAGGAATTTTTACATCATAGGCTGAAAAATCACAGAAAACTGTCGTGTAATAAACAATCATTATATATTACAAAAGTTGAAATCATGAGTCAATTGAAGCTAGACCACCATGGAAAATCTGGAAGCACTGGACGGCCGTTTCGTTTTAGTATGGGACCCCTCCATGGCAGTGCGCATCCACGATCCCCCCCGCGAGATTCGAACCCATTTTATATTAGTTTAAGGATCGTCAATTAGATATGGACTTATACATATATGATGCAGCCTTCTATTGTTATTTAGTGTAATCCACTATAAATGGAATCAAAATAGTATGCTGGAAATCTGGGCAGAAACACTACTACAGCTCTAACCGATTTCAAAGTAAAGATGAATGCTCAGGAAATTTATTGGATGGTTCCTGCTTCAAATCCCTAGTTATTAAACATTAAAATCTTACCCTAAAATCCAAGAATAATGTGTTATCGCACTAAGCGGTCTCGTTTTCAGAACTCAAACACATACATGAGACAACTATCGAATAATTCTTGATTCTTCTGAGAATTATTTACTTACGCCTTTTACTCCTTGTGGAGGAGCATAGGCCACCCACCACCATTTTCCATCCAACCCTGTCCCGGGCAATCTTTCCAGTTGTTATTCATCCTTTTCATATCTGCTTCTATTTTTCGACGTAATGTGTTCTTTGGTCTTCTGATAATACCACATTCAAATAGACTGAATATCCATATCACCTTTCTGTAGATAATATTAACAAGTAGATACTTGTTTCTTCACTTGATCTTTGAAGTTGCCAATGAATGCATTGGTTTCTCAAGTTTAGTTTGTGGTCCATCATATCTACTCTTTATGGCTTTCTCCAATTTCCTTTTTCTTTCTATATTTTGATAGGAGCATGAAACACTAAATGCTGACCAAGCTCGTGACTTATTAAGTAGAATGTTAGTGATTGATCCATTACAAAGAATTTCAGTTGACGATGCTCTTCATCACCCATATATACACGTATGGTACGAAGACTCTGAAGTAAACGCGGTACGTTAGTTGATATATGAAAATGTAGTTTCCCAAGGGTTTTTTATAAACATATATATTTCTGACTCGAGGTATTAATAAGTTTAATCTTCGCCAGGAATAACGGTTCACCGAATGAACCTGACCTAAATCATTGTAAAAGACGAATTCTTGTTTATATTTCATTAATTCATCTAAGGTGTTTTCGAATTAATAAATTTATCAGGCACTCCTCTTTAAGTAGAAATTCCAGAGCACAATCCCGTTCACAGTGAGTCGACAGCGTTTTTGAATCAAAATATACAACGACTGTTCGTTTTGAATACAGCTTATAATATTCAAGCACTGAATATAAAGTGAAGATATGTTTAATACAGTGTTTTGGATACATGAAAACAGTTGAAAATTTTTAGATGCTCCTACTGCTACCACTGTAGTGAGGAATCCTGACTTTCAGCTTTTCTAATTTTCACGTACTCTTCATAAGAATTTTCGGTTATGTAGCTTGCACACATTGACGTACTTCTAGTCTATCGGGTTTGATCAATGAACGTTAAAAGATTGGTTGGAGTCCATTACAACCTGATTTTTATGAATTTAAGCTTTTGCTTTTATCGTATTTTGTAAATGCAACCAATGGTCATATATATTTGTTAGTGCGGTAACAACTAGTGATGATAATAATAGTAATCCCTTTATTCAATACTTTATCGAACTTTTTTGGTTTAAAATTAGATTCATTAGCGTTGATGTTAGATTATGACACTTAGTATATGACCTTGACGTCAGCCCTGCGAAATACAGGTGGATTATACTGTCTAGACCGACAGACGATGACTTTGCACCGCTGCTCCTGAGATTCCTAAGCACGTCTATGCGATATTACATAAGTTAGTTGTGAAAATTTCCAGATTCTCAGTCTGGCATTTTTTGTGCAGTCTAATTCTGAAACTGAAGGTGGAAAAACTGATCATAATACTCATGGTCTGAGAATATTTGTAGCAGATATCATATTCACTGACATATCAGTAAAGAAAAAACGTTTGTTAATTTAACATCTGCTCATAACAGAACTTCCATAAGAGACATTATCTTCAATTCCTAACTTTAACAGAATACTGGCATGTAAATAACAGTTAGTAGAACTTCTCTAACAGAGGATGTAAATCATCTGTGTTGTATATCCACATTATTTGTTTTGAATACAATTGATGTATTATTTTCGTTTTCCCTATTAATTTTAGCCACCACCAGCTCCATATGATGATTCACTTGGTGAAAGAAATTTATCAGTTGAAGAATGGAAAGCGCGCATATTTCATGAAGTAAAGGAATTCGAAGCTCAAGAATCTCATATACGTAATGTTCAAAATTAAATGATCCTTGAAACAAATAGATTACATGTGTATATACACATACATTTATAAAGCAAAATATTGAAAGATAGACAGACAGACAGAGAGAGAGAGAGAAAAGTGTTCTACATAGAAGACTGAAGGAATGAACAGTATAAATGGTGACCAAGCTATCAACAACAAACCTACAGATTATTCCCAACTTTCTTTTTTTAAAAAAAAACATTTTATTAACTAGAAACTGTGAATAGGTGTAGTGGTGGTGATGGTGACGGTGGTGGTAGTGGTGGTAGTGATACAGTGAAACTTCTGATTGTTTTCCTGTTTTTATATCACTGTTATTATTTTCTATTGTTTAACCTCTTGTAAATTTATTGGCTACCAGTTGTTTTGTATAAAATAAATAATAGAGATAGTCTATACATAGAATTATTTATCATGATTATTCCAAATGTGCATACAATGATTCGCTTGTGTTATTCTTTGATATGTACTGTATGTATAGGAAATGAATGGTCCGTTGAATGTACCCATACATACATACACACACATATATATAATATCTATGAATATGATGTAACTCGAATGAATGATGTTCATTTTCTATCAATTTTATCGTTTGTTTTATTTCTTTTTTTACATTTCCCCCTTTACTAATTCTTTTCTAAAAAGAATTTAGTTCCCCCATATTTGTTTGTGTAATTTTTCTTCTTTCCCCCACCCCTATAAACTATGTTATTATGTAATTTTAGTGTTCATATGCACACAGACATACACATACATACATACACACGCTTATTTTTCATTTATTCATCAGCTACTTTTCTATGTTTATTTTGTGATATAACCTTTAATTGTGTAGATGATTAAGTTGAATTCACTTATTTATCATTTATATTATTCAATTAATAAATATATATATATAGCCTTTTAAGTGTAATCACTATTCCCGGTATAAGATAATTATAATAATCAAAATGCTTGTTATTTGACATCTATTTATACATGGTTTATATTGTTGTTTCAAAATAAGAAGAAAGAGAAGAAAAAAAAGAGGAAAACATTTTCTTTCCTTTTTCTTTCTTCCTTTTTTTTTTCTCAAAAAGAATAACAACCAAACAAACAATATTCTATTCACTAATACAATTATTCATCATCACAAATGTCTGTTCATGATGTGTTTTGATTTTTGAAAGAAAACAACAGAAACATCCCATTGAAATTTATTTTGCTAAATATATGTATTATTCAAATGACTAGTTTGCTTATGCTTATCACTTTTAAACAATATGAAGTCATTCTGTTCGTTTGTTTGTTTGTTTATTTGTTTAGTCAGTAAACCAAAAATAGAATTGTAACACAATTGTTTGTTGTTCTTCAATATTTCTCAATAGGTGTGTATTTATTAGTTTCTATTTGTTTTGTTTTTATTATTATTATTATTATTATAATTTTATTCTGCTGTTAGGGTATATTACTTTTATTAATAAAACAAACAACCTCTGTTCAAATGTTCTGTTTTGTTTAGTTTTGTTTTTGCTGAATGCCTTCTATATCAATCACCTAATTGTGAATCATAAATTCATGGTCTTATAAGCATTCTGTAAAAATAGATGGATCACTTCAGATTATTATTATGTGTTGATTTACTTGAATTCTTATTAGTTCATCATTAACACAATCGAGTGATGGTTAATGAAAAGTTGATAGATTTTTTATGTTCACAAGGGGTTTTGTAGAGATTTTTGTCATTTTAATAGTTGAAATCATGAGTCGATTTAAGCTAGACCACCATGGAAAACCTGGAAGCATTGTTTGACGGCCGTTTCGTTCTAGTACGGGACATCTCAACAGTACGCAAGATTCAAACCCATGACCTATCAGTCTCTCGCGCGAGCACTTAACCACTGAGCCAGCCGACATCCAACAGTGTTAATGTCTAACTTCAACCAATCCACAAAATTACGCCACCGTACACCATTGTCTTCAATGAGTTGATATCTCACAATAGAACTCCACTGGTAACGGCTTCTCACTTGAACTTCAGGAAATGCCTCTTGAAGTCGGTCACTAGTGAGCAAATGATTATTATCAGAAGGAGTTTTGTGGAGACAAAATAGCCGTTCAGTACTTCCAGGTTTTCTATGATGGTCTAGCTTCAATTGACTCATGATTTCAACTATTGAGATTTTTAATTTATTTGAATCAGTTTAACTCATTCTTTCTAGTTAAAATTGTGGATTTACGGAACTACAAACATCAGTTATTTGAAGGATATAAAACTAATGATTGCGTGTCAATTTATGCGTTCCTACCAATCATTGAGTAGAGATCAATTGGAAAGTCTGTATAATCTGTTCTACTATATCGATCCTTATCCATTATTCTTTAATTCACTTAATATTGTCAACTAGTCAGTTATTGGCCTAGTACCATACATATACATATGACAGTCATTGCATCACGGAAACAGTCTATATCTCTATTACTTATTTATTTGAACACATAGTTATTGGTACAAGGGAGCACCAGTTACATATGTGCCACACCAATCTCATTTGATTTGTGTGTGCTGGGAAACTGCCCGGGTTCCCAAACCGAAGTAGCTGGTCTTCTTAGGGGCCACACACGGAGCCTTCGAAATAATGGTCTGATCCACAAGACAGTGGAGCAACGTAAGAAGATTCAGTTCCATGGTGGCTGGTGACCAATGATTGGTTTATGTGCCATTTGTTCCTTCAGGATACTAGAGCCCATGTACACCATTGGTATGACATGAGGGTGTGGTGTAGTGAACAAAAACACCAATGGGGACAATCGAATGTATTTAAACGCATAATTACAGAGCATGTCAATAAAATCTGAGAACCATATATTAAATCGTTAATTTGCAAAATATCAATCCATCATATCCAACTTGACTGTTCCTGTTGCAAACATCAGTCCGTTGTCCTAGATTTTATTGTTCATGCGTTTTCATACAAATTGCATTATATTCCTGCTCTTCCTTTCTTGATCTTCCCCCATCTTCTGCTGCCAGACATGATGTTCCTAACTTGCGTCATATGCTACTTATATCAATATAAGTAGCGCACACCACAAGGGTTTTCCATCTCTCCTAGGTGGACTGTCCGTGTCCACCATCCCGGTTAAAGCGTCGGACATTCGCTTTTGGTCCTCTCGATTTCTTAAGCAACATTAATGGAGCGAGAAGGCAGTGATAGGGCTTCCCTATCAGTGGCTGTATACGCGTGACCATGTGAGAGCGTTTGGAGAGGGAGAGGTGACTCTCCTCACTTTTGACCGTACCAGGGCATTTGGGGGCCTATATCTCGATACGATACATTACACGAAGATATGACATTGCCGACAAAAACTGCTTCACAGATTGGGGATCTCTTCTTTGAAATCATAGTTCTTCTATCGGATTTTAGCATCACACTATTCTACATCATGAAATGAATATTTTGAATGATGGTATGGAGCATGGATGTGTTCACAGCGAGATAATCATAAATTGGGGATCATCAGTATTTATGGGATGACAGCGAGTGTCTGATAATTGCCTCGTTCTAATTGTCGTGATAACACTACAAAATTCTACATAAGCCCTAGTTGAAGTGTGGAGATCTCGCCGCTATGGTGGATCTTTTATGATGCATATATTTCTTGTATAAGTATTCCATGCAAAACGAATTCCACATTCGTGTGGCAATTAATTCTGTCAGTTTACATGAGTGTTCCAAATATATTTATTCCTTGTATCTCGAAACACAACCTACATGAATTTCGGCTTGAGAGATAACATGTTGTGATGAGCGATGTCCGAAATCTTATTCTGGTACACGGTGTGCTACGCGCGAACAGTTCGACTGACTACTTGGGCGAGAAAATGTATTAGACTACTGAATAAAATGCTCAAATACTCGTTTATATATATATATATATATATATATATATATATATATATATATATATATATATGCTAGTCTCTCCTTAGGAAATTAACCCTAATGAAATGCACTTAACCTTTAGGTCACTAATTAATTACTTTATAAAGATTATGAATCTAGCAGCTAAGAATCTTTCAAAATAACCTACAAGTGAACTTTTTTCATCTCGGGATTATTACTGCCCTAGGATTGCACAGTTTACACTATTTATAAAACAACTTGCCTTGCGCTTTAAATAAAAACGGTTTCTTAAATTACGGACTGATCTTAAATAGCATTCCAAAATCATTCAGCACGGGACGGGTAATTATTCTCAGCTCAACAAAACATCCATAACTCCATGAACGATCGAAATTAGCATGGGCACCTTACCACCTGAAAGCTGGACGAACGTTCATTGGTTCAGCGATCCTAGGGTAAATCCCATGCCACGAGATAGAGGTCCGACACTCGCTACTTTGTGAACTTGTATGTTTTTCGTACGCTCTATTCCGTTTACAAGTAGTGCACCTCCAATTATCCCCACCTCTTCCTTTCTTACCTCGGTCGTTGTACGTTGTCGACTATTAAGGTATGTTCTGAGGAGCCTCGAGAATTATTGGTCGATACATCAAATCCAATTCCACTAATTCGGCTTTTCATAATGTGATCTTTAGAGAAGTGTAGTCCTAGAATGAATCTGCTGTACGGAGCTCCCTGGATTTTATCCGTTATCTAACCATGATCAGCCGTGGTGTAAACTATAATATGAAGCGCTCGTCTAAAGCTTTATGTAAACATCTTCCCATCTTTCATTATTTGACTCCATCAACCGACATTTTTCTGTGACCACGTTTTAATGTGTACGTATCCAATTTTTCTAATAATTTTATGTTCCAAACAGCTTAGTTTAATTACTTCAGGTCATTCTATGAAGATTGATTTTGTCTTAATGAAACGTTGCGTGTATACCATATTGCCCTATTATTCAAGTTGGTCAGCAGATCAGTGAGATGACTTTAAAAGCCTAAAACCCAGATTGACCTCTCAAGAAACATCTTATTCATAGTTGTTTCGAGAATTTGAAAGTGGTAACTGTTTTTCACGTGGTCTTGAAATTCTTCGACTTGTTCATTTGTAGGGTGTATTACACGGAGACTATCATCCTATCTTGTATTTCGGGTACATTTTACCTGAAAAATAAAAAAAATTTTCGACGGATACTTATCAGCTCCTATTATTTCGATTTTAGACTTAAATCTAAAATTTATTATATACTCATAGTCTCCGATCCTTGTATTGACCAGGTTAATACTTAACAACAACTAATACTCTTATATTATATTTGATTTAACGAGCTCTGTACCCAGTTTGAAATCATGGTCAATAACTCCAGTAAAAGAGAAATTTCACCAACTTCTAAGCCAAATAAAAGGTCCGAATCAGTAAAACCTATGACTGACGACTCAGTACCTGACAATGTCAAACCTTTGACAAGTGAACAATATGCGCATTGTACACAAATGTCACTAACATCACCTGAATTTCCATGTTACTGCCCCTCCATCTCTGCGTGCAGTATGCCAACGGTAAGACTGGTTGACATACAAGACACTATACCCATGTGCATCAAAACGTCAGCACAGTCTACCATACAGTACGTCCTACCAAAGCTTAAATCTAAAATTTCAAAAACTAAAGAGTCCAATAGTTCGTCTCATACACATGAAAATACTGATAGATATAGTACTGACATCCGTCAACTACAAAACTCTCTAGCCGAAATAAACGGCAGGCTTGAGCAACTAGCACCCCTCACGCACATATACACTGATAGGAATCTTGAGCAACTCACTAAAGCTGAGTGTATTTTGGAGTTTGTGGCTGAAGAAGTGACGAAAAGAGTGACGTCCTCCTTCAATTCAGCTGCGTATAACCTCCCCGACCGCATACACCCTTCTAAGTTGAGGGATATTTGCCCTAGAGCATGCGGTATGCTGAACGTTAACTGCAAAGTCAAACGCCTTAGAAGAAAGTCAGACAGATCTACTTGCCCCCTCCTGTTTATGTTTGGCTGTTGTAACGATGCTAAACAGTTTATCGATTCGAGAAAAAATATTAGCTCACTCATTCCATACAAAAGTATAAAAGTCACTCCAGACCTTACGCCCTGTCAACGTCGTGTAAGAAGACGTGAAGCGATAGGATTGCATGGTAGTATTACAGTGAATAACCAGCCAGAGTCAGTTTGCAACAATAAGCATGACATCACTCCACGAACGGTCGATCACTCTGTTGATCTATATGAGTCTGCTGATCGGAAACCTTAAGATAAGATACGGACCCGAACTATCACCAAAAAACATAACGAAATACCTAATTCCAGCTACTCGCTCAGTAATGTACTAAGATGTGAGTCGTGCGACAACACGCACCCAACTAAATCTATACACTTAAAGGTTAGTCCTCCTAAAGATACTTCACAGGTTGACTCGAATAAACCTAAATTCATCTCACAGCAACAACGAAAGATTCCAGCTCTGACTAAAAAGGATGGGATGACAAGACTCACGGTACCGAGCAGAGGAACACATAAGGTTGAACCCAACTGCTCTATAGGTATCCCAACAACAGTGAACAGATTCTCCCCGCTGATACCATATAACTTGCCTTCAACACCTCTAAGTTGCAAAATGGGTAG